GGGGTTCAGACGGGACAAGTCCAGAATGAACCGCAGGTCCGCACAGAACTGGGAACAGACGGGAAACCCACACGAGGGACGTCGTCATTTTGACCACACCCAAGTGCACCCACTCCAAGACAGCCTGACAAAGCACAGGAGAAGAGGCCTGCCCCGCTAGCCCTGAACTCCTCAAGGGAGGAGGGGCCACCCAACGCCACCCCAGGCCATCGGAAACGACCCAAAAAGCCCACAAATTGTGAGACCAGGCATGAGCAAACAGCACAAGCCTTTCCCCCCATTGCCAAGTCAATGGGGCGAACCGCAAAAGGGCTGGCGTCCCTTACAAGGACCTGACTTAAACAGAGCAATCACTGCGTCGACCAGAGGAAGACAGTTCTGGAGGCAACATCCACCCGGAATCTAGCACCATCTGCCTACCACAACGGAAGGAACCACAAGCCCTGGCATGACCCCCTCCGGGAAGAACCCCAAGGAGTGGCTGCCACATCAGCCAGCCAGCCACTCGCCACAACTCCCTCTCTCATTAACACCTCACTCCCCAACATCCTCCTCCCACCAAACTGTTTTTGCTTTTATTGACTGTATACAGAAGTTATATATAAGTATCTACATGTTTTGTTCACCATAATTGTACAACTAAGGTATGGTGATTTCAGACCAACACAGGTCTCCACGCACAGCTGATGCTCCCTCCCTCCCTGACTGGTTCAAAGCCAGATGCACTAATATTTCTCCTCCAACTATACTGTTTGTGGTGTTATTACACTATATACACACACACGATATATATATATATATACAGGGGTACCTCAGTTTAAGAGTTTAATCCGTTCCTGGAGACGGCTCGTATTCCGAAAACTCGTATTCCGAAGCTAATTTCCCCATAAGAAATAGTGGGAAATGAATTAATCCGTTCCTGACTACCCCAAAAACCCCACATCAAACTAAATTTTTATACCTAATTCATCTAAATAAACCTACAAAACTATGTTCAAGCTATTATTTACCTTGCTGTTGAATGCTGTAGGCGTATGGAAGATGGTGAGGAGGGGGAAGGAGGAGAGGAGTTACTGTTTGGAAGGGGAGTCCCCTTCCATTATCACATCAGGCAGTGAGGACTTCACTGGTGAGCACACTCTGGCACATTTTGCCTGCATACCACTAGGACTTGTTTGTCTTACTAAGAATCTGTCTAAAGACACTTGTTTTTCCTGACAATTTAACACTTGTCTGTAGTAAGACATCACATTGTCATTTAAAAGGTCAATGCAATGGCCTGCTACAGCTTTATCTGGGTGAGTTTTTTCAACAGAACTTTGCAGTTCTTCCCATACTTCACACATTTTCTTAATCAAGAAGGGACATCCTCTACTGCCTATGCTCACAGCTATTTTCTTAGGTTGAACCTTATCAATGGCTTTCTTGAGACCCATGGCGAGATATATAATAACAACTCTTATGCTCAAATGGCAAAAAAACAGACATAAAACTGTAAATCCTTGTGAAGAATTCAGGAGGGATAGTCACTGGGCAGGAGACAATGGTAAACTGAGGGGCGGAGGGGCAACGATCGCCATACCACCACGCGCTAGGTCGGCCTGAACGCGTATCAACAAACTCGCATTCCGAGGTAACCCTCGCCTTCCGAGACACATTTTCCGAGGAAATCCGGCTCGTATTCCGAAAAACTCGCATACAGGGACACTCGTGTTCCGAGGTACCACTGTATATATATATATATATATATATATATATATATATGTGTGTGTATCACGAAAATAAACACGTAATTAAAAATTAGACAGAGACAGACCACGGAGGAAAATTGAAACAGGAATTTCCTTTAGTACTTTCGTATATTAATACATCTTCAGAAGGAGTGGTTTTACAGGTCGAGTACTGGACATAAATAGGCAGGAGAGAATGGTGGAATGAGGTGAGGTTCAATACGTGGACACTGCAGAGGGCCTATTGGCCCATCCGATGCAGCAACCACACACAGGCCCACACATGGATAATTATAGCATAAAATAGTAAATATTTACAATGAATTAGTGAGACAAATGTGTTCCAATGATCCTACTCAAATTGCCCTTTAATTGATCTATCAAAAATGGATCTAACTTATATAAACCACTACTAATGTTCAAATTACTTTCTTTTGTTATCTGTATCATAGCAGATTCAATTATGTTTCTGTTATAAGTGCTTTTACAATTTGTTATTGAAGAAGCCATCTCCCAATCAATTTGGTGAGCATCTTCTGACAGATGAACAAACAAAGCATTAGACAATTGGCCATGTCTTACAGAGTATTTATGTTGCGAAATTCTACATTAAGAATTCTACATAAAGAATTACATCTTTATGTTAAGTAAACATAAAGATCTTCTTAATCAATTTACTACCTCATCACCTTCATTACCATATCTATATGGACTTGTCAAGACTCATAAACCTAACAATCCCATGAGGCCTATCATTAGTTCTGTGGGATCCATTTCTTACAAGCTTTCCAAATGGCTTACCAAAATCTTGTCCCCATTGTTAAGAACTATTTCCTCTTCTCATTTGACAAATTCTCTTGAATTAGTTAACAAATTGAATAGTGTCCCAGTCACTCCTGATGTAAAGTTAATCAGTTTTGATGTTTGTTCCTTGTTTACAAAGGTACCGGTTGATGATATTCTTGATTATCTTGCTCGTGAACTAATGAGACATGTTTTACCTCTTTCTGCTGATATTATTGTCAATCTTGTTAAGTTGTGCATTAAAGAATGTAAATTTACCTTTAATAATGAGTATTATTTACAGACTTTTGGAATGGCAATGGGGAATCCTTTATCGCCATTGCTTTCAAACTTGTACATGGAATTCTTCGAAAAGAAATTTGTTTCAAAAATAACCCCTGGAATCATTCCATGGTTTAGATATGTTGATGATATTTTGTGTATATGGCCTTCAGATGTAAACACAGACGAATTTGTAGCCAAACTTAATGACCAAGTCACCTCTATAAAATTTACTATGGAGACTGAAATTGATAAATGTTTGCCATTCCTAGATGTACTTATTCATAGGGAAGATTTTTCACTAAAGTTTAGTGTCTACAGAAAACCTACGAATAATTTATCTTATGTTCATTATTTTTCAGGGCATAGATACAATGTGAAAAAGTCAATTTTTTCTTCAATGTATCTAAGAGCTCTTCGAGTTGTGAGTCCAGAATTCTTAGACGAAGAGTTTAAGAATATTGATTCGATTGGTCTCAAGCTTTGTTACCCACTGAGTTTTTTGGAAGTTTGCCGTAGCAAAGCACGTCGTACATATTATAATAATGTATGCAGTGAAAGAATTCGCCCAAAGAATGTGTTATGTTTACCATATTTCTCTGGGTTTGAGAATATTGTCAAGGCCTTGAAACTTTTTAATATACATGTATTGTTTAGCTACAAAAATACTGTTGGTAAGCTATTAGTTAGGAACAGCCCTCGTAGTGATAATTGTGTCATTTATAAAATACCTTGTAAAGACTGTAATAAGTTCTATGTTGGGCAAACATCTAAAGATTTGAAATGTAGAATTTCGCAACATAAATACTCTGTAAGACATGGCCAATTGTCTAATGCTTTGTTTGTTCATCTGTCAGAAGATGCTCACCAAATTGATTGGGAGATGGCTTCTTCAATAACGAATTGTAAAAGCACTTATAACAGAAACATAATTGAATCTGCTTTGATACAGATCACAAAAGAAAGTAATTTGAACATTAGCAGTGGTTTATATAACTTAGATCCATTTTTAATAGATCAATTAAAGGGCGATTTAAGTAGGATCATTGGAACACATTTGTCTCACTAATTCATTGTAAATATTTACTATTTTATGCTATAATTATCCATGTGTGGGCCTGTGTGTGGTTGCTGCATCGGATGGGCCAATAGGCCCTCTGCAGTGTCCACGTATTGTACCTCACCTCACTCCACCATTCTCTCCTGCCTATTTATGTCCAGTACTCGACCTGTAAAACCACTCCTTCTGAAGATGTATTAATATACGAAAGTACTTAAGGAAATTCCTGTTTCAATTTTCCTCCGTGGTCTGACACTGTCATATATATATATATATATATATATATATATATATATATATATATATATATATATATATATATATATATATATATATATATATATATATATAATAACATTCCATTCGCAAACGAGCGTGTTTTTATATACTGTACATACTATATAGATGTCACGTCTGTGACAGGTAAAAACATGTTTTTTTTTAAATTGTGTTTTTCATGTAAGGAAAATCTCCGAAACCTCTTTACTGATTGCTTTGAAATTTATAAACAATGTTGCATTCGAATATGCGCGTGTTTTTATATACCTATTATATACATGTCATACCTGTGACAGGTAAAAACATGCTTTTTGGGAAAAACAGCACTATCTGTTGCACATAAAAGCAACACATGCGATATTAAATATGTTACAATTCCATTTCAATGTTTCCAATTGCATTGATAAATGGAATTTTCTTAGATTTTGATTTATTTTCATTTTGATTCAATTATTTTGTGTGACATTGCGTTGGAATTGAGCTCTGTTGTTTACCATACCGTTCAGTTCGTGAGTATAGCTTATTTTTTATTTTTTCATTGGTTTTTCATTTCTTTTTTTTAACTGTTCTTCTTATTTTTCAGTGATAGAAACATCAGATCATTTGATGTTCCAATTTTTCTGATGGGAACATCTGATCATTTGATGTTCCAATTTTTCTGATGGGAACATCAGATCATTTGATGTTCCAATTTTTCTGATGGGAACATCAGATCATTTGATGTTCCAATTTTTCTGATGGGAACATCTGATCATTTGGGAATGCATCAAACAAGGGAATGGGGAATGGTGGGGAGGACGAGGAGACAGGAGTGAGGGATGGTGGGGAAGACGAGGGGAATAGGGGAGTGGGGAATGGTTGGGAGGATGAGGGGATGGGAGAGGGGGAAATGGTAAGGAGGACAGGGGAGGATTGCTGTGGCTCAGCAATCCTGAGCCACAGGATTGCACATGCGTTGCTGAGCCACAGCAACGTGTGGCCAAGTACAGCTAGTATTATGTATAAGTAATTTGTGTTCACCATACCATTAAGCTGGTATGGTGAGTACAGACTGCAACAGATGGCCACACAGATTCAGAAGACGATGCTACAACTCTCCCACCCTCAACATTATTCCTCCCACAATACTATGCATAGTGCAAAATATCACAAAAATCCTCCTATTATCAGAATCCTGGTCATTTTTATCACAGTCAGGGGGTCTTCTGTAATACTATCATCGCTAAATAATACCAATAACATGTATTTTTTATACTTTTAGTCGATGCTGTGGTCACAAGCTGAACAGCAATACTGTGAGCTCATGCTGCATGAGCCAGCATGAGCTCACCGGTAGCTCATTCAGTACTCAGGCTTTCACACCCGGGAATGTCGCACACGATTTAAAAAAAAAAAATGGCGTCTGTTTATAAGAGCACTGAGGAAGCTGATGTGAACACCGCGTAGCTGCGGGACTTTTAAATCTTGTGTGGTATTCCCAAATATCATATGAAGCTGAGCGGAATTTGTAGACAGTTACTGTACTTAAAGCATCATATAATGCTTTGCGCAGTTTAAGGGTTAAGCCTCTCAAGAGCCTTGGAGGTGGAAAGGACTATGTATTGCCTTGTTACCCAACACACATAAGTTTTGCAGAGATCAACTCTTTCTTTTTCTTCAACACATGGAAGAGATGAACACTGTGAACTTTGAGGTGTCTTCTCTGCTATCCTCCAATGCCACAAATCTTACTCGTCAAAAATGCTATTCGCCCAATTTGTATTCCTCAAAGGAATACAAATCTGGGCCTCCAGGTATGATATTGATGACATTGCTAATAAATTTATGGAACCAGCATTATTAGTCCTTCAGTTTCTGTCTGTATTTAGTACAAGCTGGACATTAGAAATCTTTCCAGTGGTGCAGAAGCAGGCCCTCCTCCTGCTCCTGAAACTGGTTAGATGTATCGCTCTCAGATCCATAACAGCCTGATTTCTTGCTTGGGGAAGCTCATGGAGCTCCTTAGGGGAAAGTAAGGCATCTGGACTATTTCCAGAGAAAGTTCTAGGCTGGACTGAGCATTTTCCAGTGTCTCCATTGCACCAGTATGCCCCAACATGGACACTGCAGGAGATATTAGGTGTGCTGGTGCTAATGTCAACCTGAACCCACAATTCTCTTCATAGGACAAGCAGGACTTTGTCTTTAAGAGTAACCAAGTAATTTGCTTATAAAGAAGCTTTCCACCGATTCAAAACCTTACTTTTAATAATAAAAATGTGCTGAATCCATGTAGTTTTAAAATCAAAATACACACACATCCAATTCTACCTAATGCACCAAAATACAGTCTGGGAACAATTATTCTATTTGAGTTGGAATCCTCCATTATACAAAATAAATACAATATAATATCTTTCCTTTTTCTAATAATAATTCATACTAGAGTAGATTTCAGAAAACAAACATCAAACTTTGAGCTAAGAAGACAAACAACCTCACAGATGAGGTAATCACCAGGGATGGCTAACTACAAGTCAGGCTAAGGGAGGAAAAGATCGCTTGAAACCATCAACAGGTAAAACAACACATATCATACAGTTTCTCTTGTTAGCAAGCTTTCAGATATTTTGAAAACTATAAAAATGCTAAAATGATTTACAATACTCTTAACATTGCTATGCTTTCTCTTCTGAATGAAGTGTCATGTGTTTCAAAAAAGTCTTCCTCCACAAAAAGGCTTTTAGACATTCAGAACACTGATATGGTTTCTCACCAGTGTGAACTTTCACATGTTGCACTAGAAGACGTTTTTGTGCAAACTTTTTCTGACACTCTGAACATTCATATGGCTTCTGCCCAGTATGACTCGTAGCATGTTTTTCTAAATCACATTTTCGTGCAAAGCTTTTCAAACATTCAGAACACTGATATGGTTTCTCTCCTGTATGAGCTCTCGTATGACTTTCTAGATTTGCTTTTTGTCTATAGGATTTAAGACACAATAAGCACTGATATGGTTTCTCTCCTGTATGAACTCTCTTATGGCTTGCTAACTGTGATCTTTGTTTAAACCTTTTTAGACACACTGAACATTGATATGGCTTTTCTCCAGTATGAACTCTTATATGTGCAGTTAGAATTGATTTTATTTTAAAAGCTTTTAGGCACTCTGAACACTGATATGGTTTCTCACTTCCATGAAATATCATATGAACTCTAAGGGAGTGTTTTTGTTTAAAGCCTTTTAGACATATTGAACAATGATATGGCTTCTCTTCTGAATGAACAGCCATATGAGTTGCTAGATGTGATCTTTGCTTAAAGTCTTTAGAACATTCTAAGCAACGATACGGTTTCTCTCCAGTGTGAACTCTCATATGAGTTATTAGACGTGATTTGCTTTTCAAGTCTTTTTGGCACTCGGTACACTGAAATGGTTTTTCTCCTGTATGAAGTCTCATATGAATTTCCAAATGTGATCTCTGCCTAAAGTCTTTCCGACATACTGAACACTTATATTGCTTTTCTTCTGCATGAAGATTCATATGTTTTATTAGATTTGATTTTTGTGAAAAGCTTTTTAGGCATTTTGAACACTTGTATGGTTTTTCTCCCGTGTGAACCCTCACATGTATTTCTAACTGCGATTTTCTCAAAAAGCTTTTTGGGCACACTAAACAGTGATAAGGTTTTTCTTCTGAGGAGGCTGGCATATCTCCTGAAAGAGCCATAATTTGTGATGTAAATTAGACAACAAACATCAGTAAGGTTCTTCTCTAGCATGAAGACCTTTATGTATTATAAGATACAGTAATATATATTTGTTTAAAGTTTTGGCACTGAAAGATGAGTATAATATCTTGTGTTATACCTTTTCAAAGTATATATATTATGACAATGTCAGACCACGGAGGAAAAATGAAACAGGAAATTTCCTTAAGTACTTTCGTATATTAAATACATCTTCAGAAGGCCTTCTGAAGATGTATTTAATATACGAAAGTACTTAAGGAAATTTCCTGTTTCATTTTTCCTCCGTGGTCTGACATTGTCACATTCTTAATCACGTGTTTATTTTCGTGATATACACACATATATATATATATATATATATATATATATATATATATATATATATATATATATATATATATATATATATATATATATATATATATATATATATCCACTCAATTAAATGACCTCTTTTATACCGATCTGACAGTAATAACGACCGGTTTGGGAGATCGGTATCTGGAGCCTCGTATACCAGTCTGGTGGTCGATATTGGGTTTGTTTTGGCATTGGCAGCCCCTCACATGGCAACCAAGCCACCAACCTCGATCATCCAGAGTGGTATACTAAATCTTAACTTTCTTTTAAAAAGATTCAGTTTTATGAAGAAAATTCTAAATTATTGTTAATAAAATATTTTAAAACAATTGTTATCAAGCAAAATTCTTTGTTTTCTTATTAAATACCTTTATAGTATAGGCAATAGGTATTTTTTTTCCCACAGACCTAGAATGTACTGCGCCTGGCCATGTGACCGCATTGTTTACTGTGAACTCGCGCGGCTGAGAGCAATGTCTCAGAATATTAGCCAGAGAAAATCAGATTCAGACAAAAACAGATAAATTCATGATTTCAACGGTTCGTGAAAGCACCCACTGGGAATTCAACAAGTCATGCAGCATCCGCTGGCAACGAGTGCCCTACAAGCCATGCTGCACCCGCCAAAGCTGAATTCCCATCAACAAGTCGTGTAGCCTCCACCAGCAACGAATGCCCTGCAACCTATGCTGCACCCACCAATGCTGAATTCCCATTGACAAGTTGTGCAGCCTCCGTCGGCAACGAATGCTCTGCAAGCTATGCTGCACCCGTCGATGCTGAATTCCCATCGACAAGTTGTGCATCCTCCGCCAGCAACGAATGCTCTGCAAGCTATGCTGCACCCGCCGATGCTGAATTTCCATCAAAAAGTCGTGCAGCCTCCGCTGGCAATGAATGCTCTGCAAGCTATGCTGCACCCGCCGATGCTGAATTCCCATCGACAAGTTGTGCATCCTCCGCCAGCAACGAATGCTCTGCAAGATATGCTTCACCCACCGATGCTGAATTTCCATCGACAAGTCATGGAGCATCTGCCAGCAACGAATGCTCTGCAAGCCATGTTGCACCCGCTGATGCTGAATTCCCATCAAAAGTCATGTAGCCTCCACTAACAATATAAAATATGACTGAAAGGCATATAAATTAGTGTAAGAAGTGTTGATAGAGAACAGTATTGTGTTAATGATTATTTAAGCCTTGACAAAAAAATACTGTACAGTGTAAATATACAGTAGAAATAATTTTCAATTGTGAATTAGAATTAGAACTCATGTGAATTAGTAGTAAGGCTAGCTGTTGTGTGAAGTGAATGCCTGAAAATAAGCGTACATACTGTATGTACCCTGTATACAGTACTGAACAATATAAAACAAGCGCTACAGAGGATGACGTAATCTTCACAGCTTCCTAATCTTCAGCTTCATTAAAAGTAAGTCAATTTACCAATTTTATTATAGTATTTCAACATATTAATTGGGTTTTTTCAACAAAAGCTACATATTAATCTCTGCAAATGTGTATTCTATCATTAGCAGAGAAAAGGTGAGCTCAAAATATTTCATCTTGGCTAGCTCTCAGTGACAAGGCTCAATTGCCATTGTTATGGCCTGACCGCCACAGCCTGTGTCCTAACATTATAAATACATTACTTGCACTGTTCAGGGTAAAACAAAACACATCTCTAAAATTTTATTGAAAAAATATTAACAATCACTGATTGATACATGAAATATTTTGCAATACATAGGAATGAACCATTTTTTTCCCACCCATCTGGACTTGATCAGACTGTGTTCACACATCATCCATGCAGCAGCCAGCAACTGGCTTAATCGTCGGTGTGGCACTAAATTGGAACGCAATTACACAATGAACTTTATTTAATTTTAGTTATACAGTATAAAATATATCCTACCTGAATGTCACTTGAAAAATTACCCGACCCAACTTAACTTCAGAAATAATGGAGCTCCAGAAATAACGACCAGGGTACAGCCCCATATAGGCTGTTAAATTGAGTGGATACTTATAAATATATTATATATATATATATATATATATATATATGTCGTACCTAGTAGCCAGAACGCACTTATCAGCCTACTATGCAAGGCCCGATTTGCCTAATAAGCCAAGTTTTCCTGAATTAATATATTTTCTCTAATTTTTTTCTTATGAAATGATAAAGCTACCCATTTCATTATGTATGAGGTCAATTTTTTTTAATTGGAGTTAAAATTAACGTAGATATATGATCGAACCTAACCAACCCTACCTAACCTAACCTAACTTATCTTCATAGGTTAGGTTAGGTTAGGTAGCGGAAAAAGTTAGGTTAGGTTAGGTTAGGTTAGGTAGGTTAGGTAGTCGAAAAACAATTAATTCATGAAAACTTGGCTTATTAGGCAAATCGGGCCTTGCATAGTAGGCCGAGAAGTGCGTTCTGGCTACTAGGTACGATATATATATATATATATATATATATATATATATATATATATATATATATATATATATATATATATATATATATATATATATATATACTGGTATATATATATATATATATATTGGTAGCAGTCTTTCTTGTAAACATATATTATTAAATATGACCGAAAAAGTAAGATAAATAAATATTCTAACATGAATTTTCTCAATATTTATTTTGTTTCTTTTCACTGTCGATGGTAATTGAAAAATCAATTCTCCAAAATTCATTTTTATTTCTAGTCTGATACGACACTTGAAAGCGTTTCGTAATAACTTATTACATTTTCAAAGACTTTAGTTTAAACACACACAACTATAACCTGCAAACACTAAACAGAGTTCTACTATGCTATCATTGAACCCTTAACATGCTAGGGGTATAATATCCTTTCTTCCCCACAGGCGCATGTAATTTTGAAAAAAAAAAATATTTTTTCTTCCTAACCTGTTAATTTGTGTTCACTGATCACGGGAAAAATAATAAAAAAATCGTAAGTGGCATATATTGCCCGCTATAGGGCGGGGAAGTCTGGCAAAAAATAGGCGCTGACTCAGTGTGCGTCCCAGGCGGTCTGTTGATCGCCAGCTGTCAGGCCGGAGTTGCCACAAAGAGATAATTACCTAATTATTTCAAGGTCTCTGATTGATTTTTCATAGTTTTTTTGCTGTAATATTATTTAATAGTGTGTAGTTTGATATATTTATATAATAAAATGAGTGAATCATTGCTGTACTCAAAAATATGATGTGCATATTGTTGATTCAATTATGTTCATCAATCAGTGAACAAATACTTTGTCGGTTATTACACTATAAGCACAGGTTATATATATAAGTATCTGCATGTTTTGTTCACCATAACGAACCACTAAGTTGCTATTATGAATCAAAAAGTAACGAGGAGTGACCGCCGTGTACCAGCCACCCACTCACGCCCTCCCTCAAGTCATCTGACTCACCCACATTCTCCTCCCACAATACTGTTTCTGCTTTTATTCACTATATACAGACGTTATATATAAGTATCTACATTCGTGTTCACCATAACGAACCACTAAGTTGGCATGCTGAGTGGCAGCCCGCCACTGTTTGCTACTTCCTCCCTCCCTCAAGTAACCTGACTCGCCCACATTCTCCTCCCACAATACTGTTTTTGCTTTTATTCACTATATACAGACGTTATATATAAGTATCTACATTTGTGTTTACCATAACGAGCCACTAAGTTGGTATGCTGAGTGGCAGTGGCAGTGGCCGCCCGCCACTGGCTGCCACTCCCTCCCTCCCTCACCTCAGCCTGAAGTCTCCAAAGGAATTTGTTGACTTACTGCAGGGAACACGGGCCGCAGGGATAAGAGCCTCGTTGGACGTAGAATCACTGTTTACCAACGTACCTGTGGATGAAACAATCTAGATGATAGCGGACAGAGTGTATCGTGATCCGGCCTATACTCCTCTTGACATACCAGAAAACATTCTAAGGAAACTACTCCAAGCTTGTACTAAAGAGGCACCCTTCTTGAGCCCGGATGGGCACATGTATAAGCAAGTACATGGGGTCACCATGGGTTCTCCCCTAGGTGTCCTGTTTGCGAACTTCTACATGGGTACCATCGAACAGAAGGTCTTAGTAGACATGAACTTGAAACCGGCTATATATTGCAGGTATGTTGACGACATTTTTACACAGGTACCTGATGTCAGACATCTGCAGGAGCTGAAGGAGGCATTTGAGCGGAATTCTGTGTTGCGTTTTACTTACAAGATGGAGAAGGATGGGAAGCTGCCCTTTCTAGATGTAACAGTCATGGAAAGGAACGGAGGTTTCCACACTGCAGTCTACACTAAGGAAACAAACATAGGAATGTGCCTCAATGCCAACAGTGACTGCCCAGACAGGTACAAGAGGAGGGTTGTTAACGCTTATGTCGACCGTGCTCTCAGCCACAGCTCAGGATGGAAGCAAGTCGATGAAGAACTCTGTAGGGTAAGGCAGGTCCTAGTCAACAACGGCTTCTCCAATGGTTTCGTTGAAGACATCATAAGAAGGAAGGTAAAACGCCATGCAACCTCTGAAGAGACAACTAACACAACACCTGTACCCCCTATTAGACTATTTTACAGGAACTTCTTTTCCACAGCTCATAAAACGGAGGAAAGGGTCCTGAAAGATATTGTTAATAGAAACGTTATCCCTACAGACAAAAATCAGAAGATACAATTGATGATCTACTATAAAACCAAGAAAACGGCCAACTTACGCATGAGAAACTCTCCAGACACAAAGCAGAACGCTTTAAAAGAGACCAATGTCGTCTATGCCTTTAAATGCCCACTTGGGGACTGTAAGCCTCAATGAATTCAGTATATAGTCAAGGCAACAACATCTCTTTCCAGGCGATTAACGATGCATAAGCAACAGGGGCTGCATTAAGGAACATATAATCTCTTCCCACAACTAGACCATCACCAGAGAAGTTTTAACAAAAAACACGGAAATCATCGATAGATACAGCGATAGCAGGCGGCTAGATATCTGCGAGGCACTACACATTAAGAAGTCGACACCAGCAATCAACAGCCAATTAATGCACAACTATATTCTACACACTTCAAGACTCCGCACCATTATAGAAGCATCAAGAAATATGGGCCAATAGGCCCTTTGCAGTTACTTCCATTCTTCCCTTTAACTTACAAAATATTATACCCATTGTTTCGTGTTCTGTCTTGTGTTGAAAGTTTGTTTTCACCTCATCCAAAACTGTTGTAACATATCACCTCACCCAAATGCAGGTATAAAAAATCGAAGCTGTTTAATCTCTGTTCAGTTATAGTTGTGTGTGTGTAAACTAAAGTCTTTGAAAATGTAATAAGTTTTACGAAATGCGCTCAAGTGTCGCGTCAGACTAGAAATAAAAATGAATTTTGGAAAATTGATTTTTCAGTTACCATCAACAGTGAAAAAAAAACACAAGAAACATTGAGAAAATTCGTGTTAGAATTATTAATCTTACTTTTTCGGTCATATTTAATAATATATGTCTACAGGAAAGACTGCTACCAAAATATACTAATATATATATTTATATATATTGTGTGAAAAGTAATTTAACAAATTGAACTGCAAAGTTGTTTATACTGTATACTAAAATTCTAATGAGATTTTGCAAATACAGTATATAAATTCTCTGTGTGTTTCTAGATACGATTGTATGGAATTCTTCTGAACATTTATATCTTTGATGCTATGCTCTATATATAATGCATATAATGCATGTTTCTTAAAAAGGAAATTTGTTATTTTTGTGTGTATATGGGACAATGTTAATGGCTTCTGCCCGACTTAATGAATGGGAACCAAATCAAATTTACGTAAATATATATAGCGAAAAACTTAACATTAACAAATATTTAACTGATTGAACTCATATGTGTTGTCCAGAAAAATTTATAGGAAATGTCTTAAAAATGAATTATACAAACACGTCTCTTCCACCAGTAATTACCTAAGCATAATTATGAAAGAGTAGTTACAATGATGATAGCTGTGCTTTTAATGTCCCGTCTTCCCTACATTCTTTATCGCATGAAATTTTAACACCATCCACCATCCTGTCACTTACATTGTTTCAACCATCTACAACTCTGCTCAGAAAAAGAGAGCTCTCATATATTTTTTGGCACCTTTGTTACATGCACATGGGCTGTTACACCAGTACTGAAGTGTATATAAAAATAGTGGAGCTGAACGGTACCAATGATGAACCTTTGATACAGTATCTGGGATAAACGCTTCACAAACTAAAGGTTCAACACAACTTTCTACACGAAAACTTGACAAAGATCACAAGGTAAATCTCAATGTGATAAGCATACTACCTTTGATGACAGGGGTCGACTTCAATGATCACATAATACTCCAACTACCTCTGATGATGGCATCAATCACAAACAACTACTTCTGATGATGGCATCAATCACAACCTACTACTTCTGATGATGGCATCAATCACAAACAACTACTTCTGATGATGGCATCAATCACAACCTACTACTTCTGATGATGGCATCAATCACAACCTACTACTTCTGATGATGGCATCAATCACAAACAACTACTTCTGATGATGGCATCAATCACAACCATCTATTTCTACAGATGACATCAATCACAAACTACTACTTTCTGATGATGGCATCAAACACATTGTATGTGATATTTGTATTACATGTAGAGTACTAGTAAATGGGTAAATAACTTGACATTTACTACAAAGGATGCTAAAAGTTGTACATGACAAATTGTGTGATGGAAACTGCAAAATATTAAGCATTCAAGCTGTAGATGTAGTGTTTGTAGTATGCTTCACAACCCACGGATGAGAACCCCAACATTTTCTTAGGATTTTACCTCGCTTTATTAGAATAATGATAGTAGAGTGGCTCAATTGGATTTGAAGTGTTTGCTGACGCTTGATATGAAGGATCACAATGCGTCTTCATCTTGCATGACTATACAACACAGCGCTGGCACAACACGTGTACTTTTTTGCAGTGTAATAAGCTGTAAAGGCAAAAAATATTGGATTAGCAGGACGAGAGGGAGACTCACTTATAGGATATATTCATGCTCGTGTTAAAACCTCTGCTATTAAAATATTCACATTATTAGACACTGAGAGCTTTCTTTTACAATTCATGATAAACTATTTTTATGCTAATAGGGTTATTCAACACCAACATAAAGGAAGCCACCTCGGGGTGATTGAATGTTTTGCAGACGCAATGGAAGGAAGTGTATTCAATGGTCTACTCTATGGAAATGAGACAGAAGCAAGATAACTTGTCTGCGAGATAACCCCCCCCCCCCTATACAAGAACGTTGGACACACACCTTACATGTGATGACCAGATGACAAAAATTAGGAAAGAAAGAGATGGGTGGACAGACTGCATTTTCTTAAGACTATCAGAAATCCTTTGACCCAGCACCCCATAAGAGGCTGTTACAAAGCCAGCCTCTCCTGCCTGTTTGGAGAAACAGGCAGGCGTAAAAGGTAAGGTGCTCCAGTGAATAAGGGAGTATCTAAGCAACAGGAAACAGCGAGTAACTGTGAGGGGGAGACATCAGAGTGGTGAGATGTCACCAGCTGAGTCCCACAAGGCTCTGTACTTGGATCCATCCTGTTTCTAACAAAGTGTATGTAAACGATCTTTCAGAGGGTATAGACTCATTCCTCTCAATGTTTGCTGATGACACAAAAATTATGAGAAGAATCCAGACAAATGAAGATAGACAGAGACTACAGGGCAAACTGAAGAAATGGTCTAGAAAATAGCTACTAAAGTTTAACTCAGGAAAAGTAAAGTAATGAAATTAGGTGAAGGGAGCAGGAGGCTGAACACAAGATACCGCCTGGGAGGTGAAATCCTGTAAGAGTCAAATAGAGAGAAAGATCTGGGGGCTGATATTCCACCAAACCTGTCCCCAGAGGCCCACATCAAAAGGATATCATTAGCAGCATATGCTAGATTGGCCAACATAAGAACTGCCATTAAAAACTTGTGTAAGGAATCATTCAGAACCTTGTATACTATGTCAGACAAATCCTGGAGTATGCAGCTCTACCCTGGAGTCCATACCTAGTTAAACATAAGACAAATTCAGAGGTATACCACCAGACTAGTCCAGGAACTGAGAGGTATGAGCTACGAGGAAAGGCTACGGGAGCTAAGCCTCATGTCCCTAGAAGACAAAAGAGTAGGGGAAGACAGACCACCGCCTACAAAATTCTCAGAGGAATTAACAAAGACAAACTATTTAGTATGGGGTGGAACATGAACAAGGGGGACATAGGTGAAAACTAAGTACCCAAATGAGCCACAGATATTAAAAAATAATTTTTCCAAGTGTCAGAGTAGTTAACAAATGGAATACTTAAGCAGTGATATGGTGGAGGCAGACTCCATACACAGTTTCAAATGTAGATTTGATAAGAGCCCAGTTGGATCAAGAATCAGTACACCCAGAATTGACGCATTGAGTCACAATCAGAGTCAACACCTGCATCAGAGGAGCTCAAGGATATTTCAAATTCCCAAGTATTGAAGAACAGGTTGATGACCATGTGTGGTGTCCCAAGAAATATAAAGGTGTAGATATTTGAAAAATAGGCGAGATAAAACAAATGTGCAAGGGAAAGTGAAAAACTGCATGAGAATAAGTTAACATAATGTAAACAGTGCAGGCGACAAAATTCAAGATGGTTGCCGATGAAAAAAACCCAGCGTTGAATGTAATGAAACGCCATTTTCTGGGCGAGTCCCGAAGGCTCTCTGGCTAATCCTGGCTAATATGTATATTGTTAGACTTTGGCATCAGTCTGTGAATGGAGTCCTAGGCCTAACGGAGAACACAGCCAGATCCTGGCCCCCTCAGAGAGGCACGAGGAGTAATGTCCTATAAAAATGTACAAGAGATTTGGAGCATTCTATATCTGCCATCAACCAGAACAAGCAACCAGAACAGTAAGCGCCTCAAAACAAACCCCTATTCTGGTTAAAACGATGAAAATAGACAAACTAGTGGACAGAACTCCCCAAGTGAAAACGAGCAAACAAGCATGACGTCACACGAGCCGCGCCGCATGTCTGAACAGCTCCCCCCTCCCTGGGAGGGAGAAGGGGGGAGTCCCAGACCCACACCAGCGATCCACCCACCAGTTCTGAGGCTGGATGTCAAAAACCCGCAAAAATTGCCAACCGAAGGGAGGGAGGGTTGCCAGGGAGCCTCTGGGACTTATCCAGAAAATGGCATTTCATTACATTCAACACTGGTTTTCTGGGAGGAGCCGCTATGGTTCACCAGAGCTACCTCACCAAACAAGAAAACTAGAGTGACTTACCCAGGAGGCGGTCAGTGCTCGCACATTAACTCAAAGTCAAGACAACAGGCTGCAACCGCCGACACAAAGCAACACAGGTCCGACTAGGCCCAGGAGCGTTAACGAGGTAGCATGTAGCCAGGACCCTGTTCGACCGCCAAAAACCCCGCACCCGAATATCAGCCCAGGACATGTTACTGAGGACGGCAGCAAGCACAGCAAACTTACAAACTTCATGGGCACGGGGATAGACCGCAGGCTGGCTAGACCGAATAACCCTGCGGACAACCTGAGAGACCTGAACCAGGGAACAGGGAAGAAGGGAAACCGGATCAACCCAAAGCGCGTCCCCGGCCAAAGAGGCTCTGACGCACAAAATAACGGCGAAGAGCTGCACCAGACACAACACATGATGCACTCCCGGCCTAACCAACCAAGCATCAACAATCCAAGGACTCCTCCGGAAAGCAGCAGTCTCATTCTTCGCCAGAAAAGGAGACGGATACAAACGAACAAACCCACCACCAGGACCAAAAGAGCAGAATCTCCTGTACTGGAGGAGAGCATGAAGCTCCCCAACCCAGTATTGGGCCCCCAGAGCCCAATGCCAACAAAAAATGGGCTTTGGAAAAACAATCCTGAACTGAAGGGGCCACAACAAACCGAGGCGAAGACAGATACAAAAGCACTCTGTCCAAAGACCAGGACGATTCAGGTGGCACATGAGCAGGTTGAAGGTGAAACAACGCTCGAGACAGCTTGTGAAACAGTACCGAAGTAACATCAATATCAAAAGCAAGCTGCAGCGGCTCCACAAATGCCGCACAATACGAGGCGGCAGAATTCGGTATAAGATGACGGTCCTGAAACAGCCACGAGAGAAAGGACAAAACAACCATAACAGAAAGTGAAGTACAGCGACAAAGAGACAAAGAAACAGAAGGACCGCCAGGAAGCTTCATACTGCTGCCGAGACGAAGCCCGCAGGTGGGACACCATCAAAGAAGCCACCAGAGCACCATACAGATGGTGACAGACTCGAGTCAAAAAGACCAAAAGTGAAGACTCGAAGAGAAGATTGAAAAAGGCTCGTAACAGACCAGACTGATCTGTTGAAAGAGGCGGAGCTGCGGAAAAACCTCCGGGTTCGGACATTGAGCAAGCAGCGCCTGAAACCAAGGCTGGGCCGGCCACCACAGGGCCAAGAGGACTACTCTTCTTTGGTATGTCTCCAAGCGAGCTAGGACCTGGAGCAACAGCTAAACCAGAGGAAAGAGGTACAGGAACCCCCACCTTGACCAGTCCTGCCAGAAGGCATCGACCCCGACGGCCTCGCAGTCGGGGAAGGGTGCCACATATACCGGAAGACGCCTCGACCATGCAGACACGAAGAGGTCCACCTCCGGGCGCCCGAACGTCTGGCAGAGCCAACTGAATAAGTCGGCATCGACCGTCCATTCTGCGGACATGGGAATGAACAGGGACAGGTCATCCGCCAGAATGTTAGACCCTCCGCCTCTCCCCAGCCCAGATGTGAACCGCCAGGGGAGACATGCCCCAAGAACTCAGCAGATGAATCACCCAAAGCGACAAGCCCCAAAGAACCAAGGACCGCATCGAACCCCCTCGGTTCTGGCACTTGAACCACCAGGGAGCAGTTTGAATGGAGCCGGATCATAGATTCGCGGGCGACCCAAACCAACTGAAGCGAAAACCACACCGCCGTGAACTCCCGCATCGTGCAGTGGGCCTGACGGAAGGACGGGTTATAAAGTTATAACCCGTCCCGTATACTGGTTATAAAGTCCCAGCCGAGAGACGACGTGTCCATGAACACATCGAGCAAGGGCTCGGGTAGGCGCCAACACACTGAACCCTGAAAAACCCGAAGAGAAAGCCAGCGACGCAGAAGCTGACACAAGGTTTCCGGGAAACGAACCCAGCGATTGCGAGAGAGGTGGAAGGGACGTACCCAAAGGAACCAGAACAGTCGACGAAGTCAAACCCGGCCCTGCGGGTAGACCATCATCACAAAGTTCAGGCTCCTGCACAAACCCTCGAGCAACTGCCAGGTGACCCGGAAGCCCCCAGAAACAAGCACATGCGGACAGCAGCTGAAGGAGAGACTCCGGAGGGAGAGACAAGGAAGCAGTCCGAGAGTCCCACACAAGACCCAGCCACGCTCGAACCTGGGAGAGGACCAGATGGGATTTCCACCAGTTCACCAGGAACCCGAACCTGGCTAACTGGGAAAGCACCAAACCCCCTGGCGAGCAGACACGCTGACCGACTAGGAGCCCAGACCAGCCAGTCGTTGAGGTAAGGCAACACCCGAACACCTAAAAGATGCAGACGCGCCACCCTGACCCTGGTAAGGCTTGTGAACATGCGAGGTGCCACGTTCAATCTGAAAAGGAGACAAGGAAATCAGTAACCTTGATGCCCCACAACAAATCCGAACCAATCCCTAAACCCCAGATGAATCGGGACGTGCCAATAAGCGTCCTCGAGGTCCAGGGACACGATCCAAGCACCCGGATCCAACAGAAGCCGGACCTGGGACAGAATGGTCCTCTGAAAGGAGGAGCAACAAACCCAGGGGTTCAGACGGAACAAGTCCAGAATGAACCGCACGGCTGCACAGTCCCATTTCGGAACTGGAAACAGGCGGGAAACCAAC